AACTTTGCAGATGAGATGTACACACACACACTAAATGTTATAGAGCTATAAGGAGTCCTCCTGGACAGCTCCTAAACAAATATTTAAAAAAAAAAAAAGAATCATCTTGAATAGTTGTTTGGTCTTAAAGTCTTGCTTTAAGATCACAAACCCTATCCCCCTACCCCTGGAAATAAATCATGGGACAAGAGGGGGTAATTATCATGCTCACAGATACCTCCATCTCTCAAATGCTGCCTCCTGAACTACAAAAAACAATTTACACTCCACCCTTTTTTTTTTTTTTTGACCATGCACTTTTCTTGATCTCTGACTTACGTCACATTTGTACTGAAGATTAAGATCGTCTAGACTCATAGACCTCTGTCAGGCCTTAAAACCTTCTTGTGGACTGCCAGCACAGCCATCCAGGACCTGCCTTGCTACACAGAGCCGTTCTCTCTGGAGTGATGAAACATTCACTACAGACCTGCAAGCTGTCAGCAGGATGGAGATCACAGGATCCACTGCCTCATATCACAACCCTTTTCAGATATTTTGAAGAGCCCCACGGAAAGTATGAGGTGGAGCAGAAGTAAATCTGAATGTTCTTTGCCGCCTTAGCAGTCTAGGGAATCTTCACCTCACTGCATTTGGGTACCTTTAATTCTACTGGTCCTTCTTAGATAAATGGTATTTTGAGGAAGGAACATGTGATGTCAAATGCCACACAATCACTCTGTGGCAGAACCAGTCACCGTCTGAACAATTCAGAGAATAAGACCCAACTGCATGGATGGATGCAATATTTCTTCTGCTTGAAGCCTTTTGCTAGCAACAATGCTTCCAATTTAGCATCACGACTACATGCAACCGTGGCAAGCTAAAGCAGCCAAAAAGCAGAAATACAAAATCAATATAGACAATGGTACTTTATAATAATAGAAATAGCACCCTGAAAGAAACAAATTAAAAGAGAGATTATTTTTGTCATTCGATTACAGGTGAATGCAGAAAAGCACCTGGCCAAACACTCTCCATTTTGTCCCAAGCAATATATCACTTACCTTTTGGTATGCTTCTCTAAAGAAATAGTAAAGCGCTTTGACTCAAGTTATTGGGGCAGGAAGCCAACACCATGTTTTGAAATTACTTTCAAGACTTCCAGAAAGTACTGGAAGCTTCCCGCATTTACAGAAGCAGCTGTGAGCTAGAAAAATGAAACTACATGAAAATGTAGTGTAACCTCAAGGCTATACATACATATATATTTACTTTTTTAAAAAATGTTATTATTTTTTAACCCATTTTCTAAAACAAAGCTCTTCTAGAAACTGGTGGAAAAAGACACAGGGTATCTCAGAGCTCACCAGGGCTCCTGGCCCAGGATGTCCTGCAGGAGGGAAGGCTGAAGAGCTTCAGGCTCTCACGGCAGGGGGGTGCAAGTGCCCTCCTCAGAAGAATGTGCCCATACTTTAGTGAATTCTAGACCTATTATTTACCTACATTTAGTTTACCTGTGTTACTAATTTTTCATAACTCAGTCCCCTGTCACCGTTGCTACTTCCATGTAACTGTATCTATTCTTAAAAAATTTGGAGAATTTTAACAATTTAATAAATTATCCAGAATGTCAGGTGCTTACATCAGAGCTGTGAAGACATACACATTACGGTCACTGCTGCTGATAGATTGCCAGATCCTTGCTGCCTGACACATTATTCTTCAAAGACAGCAGAACCTGAGTACGTGTTTCATCTCAGGTTTACAACGCAGGAACAGCAGAGGGAAGAGCAGGACTTATGCAACAAAATGGCGACTGCCATCACCAAGCCCTCCATTTTCTAACTTTGTCAAACTAAACAAAAATAAATGTACACGCTTAGCGCCCCCTCTAACAACAAAAAGCAGTGCATTCTTTCTTTATGTGCTAGTTTCACTGCATTATTTCTTTGTCAAATGCATTTTTAGCACTGAGTGTAAAAAACTTCCCTGGCCCACACAGAAATGTTACTGAGCTAGAGCTAATGCTCATGTGAAAAGGTGATGGCAATATTTCTCAGTAACAAGGATAGCTACCGAAAAGGAATTGTTACTTGGAGGCAGTGCAAACACCATTTTTGCAGCACTCTGTAACCAATTTAAAAAAGATACAGCAGCTTCTTCAGACAGAGGATGAGACAGCAATACCCAGAAGGTAACTATTTTATGTACCATTTCCTCCCTTTTTACGTCTGCCTAAGTTCTACTGAACATATTGGCCAACTTGATACTTTCTATGTGCTAATTTGTAGTGGAAGTCCATTGTAGTACATTTATATAAGCAGAAACAACCTGATAATAGAAGTTGCTACAAGAACTTGAAAGCTGGAAAGGCAACACAGGAGAATATAAAGCACACAATCGTTTTAGGTAAGGGTCCACTAAAACAGGACTTTAATCCTATTTTAATTCAAAAGGAACTGCAGTTTTATTTTCCCAAAGGTATTTGGGAAGGAGTTATTTGCATGGAGAACTGAACTACTGCAATGGGAATAAATTACCATCCCGATACGTCACCATATCTGCTCTTCAAAACAATGGAAGACTCGCAGTAGTACACTTAATAAAATTTGAGTGAGTCAGTGTGCGTGTGTTACTAAGATAAAACCCTCTCGGATAAATCAGAATCATTACCATTCTTGGTAGCTCAAGATCTTCGTAAAGTTTTTTCAGCCCCTAAGCATTTACTATACAATATTTACTTTTAGGGACAGTTTTACTTCAAAATTACTTTACCTTCTAAATTATATTAAATAATCATATTATTTTACAGTGATAACAGCTTCTAAAAGTCTACAGGCAAAAAAATACAGCCGGTCACTCTACACTCCTGAAGAGGTATGTTAGTACATCTAAAAATCTTTTCCCTGATGTCAGCTAGGTCTTTCTAGCGGTAAAGCATTTGAGGACAGGAGCAAAGCAGGAGCCTTAAACGCCACCTTTTAGAATGTGAAACACTAATTCATTTTCAAGCAGAGAGATGCAAGAGCAGTGATGCTGCCCCAGCAGACATCTGTGAGACTGCTTTGCACTGCCAACAGCAAAAGTGAAAAGCTTTTCAACACAAAAATTTACTACTTTTGAAGGTCAAACATTTTATCAGTAAAATACACAAACTGGCCAGTCAGGGAAAATATTTTCAAGCAGTTCAGTGTTTATTCTGAGAATATTTTCCAGTATCAGCTTTCATCAATCTGCTACTGTCCAGTATTTCTTAAGAACTAAACAAAACCACTGTCTAGTAACACAGAAACAATTAGACACAAGCAGAGAGCCAAGGTCTTGAAAAAGGCCATGCTTCGTTTCCTGAAGATGGACAGCCATAATGAAATGTGGTACTTCCCATTTCACACTGAGATCATCTATATCGTAATGATATCATCTACTTCACTTAATTACAGGCTGTTTTCACTTAGTGTTAAAAATACTAATTTAAACTTTTAGTTAGTGAATATTTTTGGATCATCTGAATATTTGCCATCGAGTTTTCCCCAAAATGAAGTCAGCTATTCTCAATGTAAATACTAATTTTTCAAGCACATAGTTTTTAAAATAGGACTTAGTCAAATACAAAATAGTGCAGATATTTGACCTAATGTTCTTTAGTTCCCACTTCTACAAGAAAGTTAGTAACCTTGTCTGAAAAACTGCACAGTTCCTTAAGCATTTACCTGTATTTCTGATAGGATGGCTGATAAAACATTTTAGATTAACTGGAAAGTCTAAGCTATTTCTTAGTGATTCTCTATACATGTATCTCTTACAGACATATCACAACAATCTCTCCTTTGTTTCTTAAGAACACCAGTCACCCAAATAATCTTTATCTTAAGCAAAAGTAAAGCCAGTAAGCACCAGATTCAAGAGATTAATTTTTTTTTAGGATAGCTTTGAAGTGGTCCTCTAAATTTTGGGGGTGTTTTTCCAATTTTGTCATTGAAGTTATTGCAGCTTCCTCAGACTCATAACAGTCATCTTCCACACATTTGGCAGTTTAAAATATTTCTACACAAAGCTATTTTTCCTTTTGTTTTATGACTTTGTTTAATCTAGCACTCTCTATAAAGGCAAGGAAATTTTCACCTACTGCAATTTATACAAATTTCAGTGTAAGCAAGGCACCCAGCTGCTGTAATAAGACAAACATATCTTCAGAGCTGGCTTGAATCAGCAGTTCTCTCCTCCCATCTGGATTCCAAGGAAAATATATATGGTAACCTCACAGCCCACATGTTAAACATCTTCCCGTGACTGACCCATGTGGCCACTACCACTTAAGCATTAAGCAGCCCCAGCATCAAGTGATTTTCCTTGCTTTTACAGAAAAAAGGACTTAACATTACCTAGTTAATTGTAAACACTATTTCTTCAATCTAATTTTTCCTTCATTTGAACACAATTGTAAGGACTATTCTAGGTAAGAATTTGTAAGACCATTGCGTACTTTGAGTAGGACTAAAAAGCAGCACAACATACAACTCATTCTTGTTGTAACAATTAATTTCTTCTAACAAGGTTTACATCAAAAGCAAATACCTAAAATAGTTAACCAAGTTATTTTTAACTTTTACTTCACACAATGAAAGCATGTACTGATCCTGTACCAAGCATTGTTATCGCTATAAATTTGTATTCTATCCAATGCCTTGAGTGCTTGCTCTCTATCACAAGTCGGCTAGCTGTCTTCTATGTATAAGGACTAAAACTCACACTTTGAGTGTTAGCAGTTCTGGGTCATTTTTTCATTAGTAACCACAACAATAAAATTTAAACCTCTGCTTGTATTTGGCATTGTTATTGTGATGTTTTAATATGGTTTAAAATAATCCTAGGATTCCTTTATGTTATGTCTATCTCATAGGATAAAAATTATTCTGTTAGAATTTCTAAAAATACAGTAATTTTCCACTAATCAGAAGTTGGGAGAGCTAGTATTTTCTCAGTGATAAAAATCAACTTCTATTGGAAATTTTCCTCACCTTTTCTGTCTGGCTTGAGATTCCGATCCACTGGCGGTGGTTCACATTCTGCAACAGGTACTGACCGTCTGGGAGGGGTCTTTGGACTGGACCTGAAACCCATGTGAGCAGGAGGAGGGACTTGCTTTCCAAATAACGGAAAATCAAACGTGCCTGGTGTCATTGGTACATAGTTTGTTTCCTGGATGGGTTCAGTGAAGCTGCTGGAATGCTGTCGTGGAGGAGAGTTGGGATTCATTGGGACATAATTTTCATCTAGTTCTTCACTTGAAACACTTCCCACTGTCAACATGCTTCTGTTTTTCTAGAATTAACATATATTTCCTTTAACAAAATAAGTTATGCAATCAGCTGTGAATCATACGAGTTTTTTAACCTAATCTACTCAGATTAATATATTCTACCGAAACTGAAAATATCACAAACATCGTACAGCTTCCTTTTTTACATGGGAACAAAGAGCATTCAAGCACTGTCACTGTCGCCTCTCATCAGATCAAGTCATACTTACAAAGTGGTTATGGAAGCCCTCCAATGAATTAGATCTGTCATTCGGAAACGTTCGTGGAATATCATAACAGTCTTGAGAACTAATTTCTAAAGAAACAAGAAGAGAAAGTGGCTATTTATCATCCCTGTTCCTGTCACTTGGCACCAGGCATCCAGAGTCTGTTGTTATTTACTATCTGCTTCTGAGAGCATACAAACACACCTCCTGAAGCTGTGCCCCACAGATTTTATCTATATACTTGAGAGGACTGTGTTCACAAACAAACTTAGCACTCATCAGTCATAACTCGAAGCTCTTATAGTGGCATTTTTCCACAACAAGAAAAGAAAAAGTAATTTTTCCTTTTAAAGAAGCAGCAAAGTCTTCCTTTCAAATAAGCAGGTGTAAGAATTTAGTGTAAGAGTGGGTTTTGAGATACAGGGCCCTCATGAAAAACCTATTCTAAACAAACAAACAGCAGATGCAATTTAGGGTCTGGAGAAAGGTTTTCTGACTGAACACCCTTCCCTTGGAAAGTGCTGATTCAACAGGATTCAATCTGTTGCAGGAACAGGTGAACCCCTGCTCTCAGCTCCCCAGTACTGTCTTCAGGGGCTTTCAGTTTGAACAAACAGCTACAGAACCGAAGATCTCCCCATTTTCAGGGTCCTGGCTCTCAGCAATCCGCATTAAGAAGGTCCTCAGCTTTATGGCTGCTTCTATGGTGGACAGGGGTGTTTGTGAGACATCTAGGTCCCGGGTCCCGCTCAGCCTGTGCAGGCAACAGGCTGCCTTACCCTGTAAGAGGCATGCCCTTCCTCCTAATGCCAAGACAGAAACTGTGAGCAAACTCTGGGCTTTATCCTTGCCTTGCCCTGAAAAAAACCTCAAGTTTTTGAGAGATTTCCACCTCAGAGGAAAAATAAATACTTCTGCTATTAAGCACCAAATTAAAACAGTATTGTCAGAAAGGCTACTTTTCCTGAGGCTGACAATCTCAGCTTTGGTGTAGGAGTGCTCACTTATATACTTCGCAAAATGACAGAAGATAAGCGAAGCAAACATGGGTCTTTCAGGGTGTTACCTGGTCATTTTAAAACACTAGCAACCACCAATATCATTACACTTAGCCTACAAAATGAACGACAAACAGGATAATACTATCCGAGCGCCTGTATGATCAGATCCATTCTGTATGTTGCCTCCTCTAAAAGCCCTGTCCCCTTCCTCATTTCAGCCTCTCACCCCATACCTAGCACAACTCATTTCTCCTTTAAAATCCCCTCTAACATTAACATTGACTCTAACGAGTTTAAACTTTCACTTTAAAAATAAGACTGTAATGCCCACCTGCCTCAGGAACCTGAAAAAAATTAAACTCTCAGCCCTAGAGTGGTTAACAAGACCAGAACAACGGCTCTCTGTAACAATAAATATCAGTTTCCCAATCTCTATCTCTCACTGCATTTCTTGAGTTTAAGTCTGAGAGAATAAGAACAGGAACAGAAAAACAGGCAGAAAAAACTCCCAAGAGACACTACATTCTTTAAGTAAAAGTAGCTCCACCAGATTTGCTAGGACCTGAAATACATCCAGCTGCTAAAGAAAAACCAGAAAAAACGCACTAGCACATCTGGAATATCAACATTTAGGTGACTGTAAGGAACAACTTTAATTTTACTTAAAAATTGCAGTATGGATATCTATCACATGGAGAGAAATAAACGTCAGTGGCAACGATCACCCAATCAGGGTTGATCTCAAAGCTCTTGGTATACGCCAAGTCCCACTGACCTTCATGAAACACTTTCAGCTTCTGCAGATTTGGACCACTATATGCTAACCTTACTTTGGTCGTTCTGAAAGATTGATAACAGCAGTATTAAACTCAGCTATATGATCTTATTGGCAAAAAAAGATAATTAGTTCTTCACTGCTGTTTTCTAAAGAGGAGTAACACCATAAATATGTCTTCAAATATTTTTAGCTAAGACTGAATGCCACAGCGCGATACACTACCCTTATCAATGTTCTGTGCTTTGCTGTTTTGATGGTTTCCTTTAATCATCTTCTCCATTTCCTCTTTCTTACATATTTTGAGCATTGCGACCACAGACTGCTTTGTGAAGTGCTACACACTTGTTTATAAAGCTTAGAAATGCCCCTCATATCATTCAGCCCATTCACATCATTCACCACAAGATTACATCATTTAACACAAAAATTCCAGAAGAGCGGGATAAAATATGGAATACTGACCTTTACGAAAGATATTCAAATCTACAGTTGAAATGGTATTACTGCGCGAGGGCGGCATTACAATAACTACTATCAGTGTCTGAAGCAGTGCGACTAATGCTACATGTTTCCACAGGAGATCGATCTGCAGCGTGGTGAGGTTTTGGTGGCCGAGGTGGAGGAATATCTGGAATAGTCTCCAGTTTTGAAGTCTGAGACAACGTTCCCTCTGGAAAAGTTCGTGGAATCTGGTAAGTACCTCCAGGTGTGGGGGGAATGTCATAGCTAATGGAGATGTGTCTCATCTGTGCGTCTAATGATGATGTTGCTGATGGGGTATTGAAAACATGTTGCTCTCCTTCTGCATCAGTCCCAGATGGAGACGCTGCCTTCGGTAAAACATCCTGTGAGTAACTCCTAGGCAGGTTATAAAGGCTGCACTCTGCCAGTGTCAGTGCAGTACGAGAAGGCGGGGAGTCATAGACACCTTGCTGCTGAAAAAAGCCATTCACAGCATGCTTGCTCGCTGATGGAGCAGGATTTTTGTGGGAGGGCACGTTATCATTGCAGTCTGTTTCAGAAGAGCTGGATTTTGCTGAGTCAGCATGAGATCTACACATAAGATTGTAAGATTAAAATGCTGATGAACATATAAAGAAAAACAAACATCACAAATAATAAACACAACACTTAAAATGTAAATAACTAAAAAGTCTATCAGTCTCTTCCATATTTTTTTTTAATGAAATGCAGGAACTCAATTACTAAACAAACAGTAGTACTTAAGAAGGATCCTAAGTAACTACACACATACACGCATGAGAAACAGGTAACAAGTGTGGAGCTTTAGCAGCAGATAAACAAGTTGATGTTTCATAGAGCAAGTGATTTCCACAATGCCAATTTGGAGCAGAGTTTGTTTGGGGGCTGGGGGATTTTTAAAAAAAAAATTTTTTTTTTTAACCTATGCTGCAAACTAGCTGCACTTTAATGGTGCTGTTAAAGGTAAAAATACACTCACTCCTTGGGTTTACAGTACTTGGTAGTTCTAATTAGTATGAAAAAAAACATTAGAGGAAAAATACAACTGCTTGTAACACTCTTAAGTGCATGTCTAAAGTTATCTACTGATCATATAAAACTGGTTCAAAATACATAAAGGAAAGAGAAATAACAGATAAGAACAGAAATAGGAGGAAGATAGCATGCTCTTCAGGGAAGAAAATCCATAGGATGTTTGTGCAACAGAGCGCTTTTGTCTTGAACGCAAGTTAAGGCAGTGTTGTTAGATAAAACTGCACAGTAGTTTACCTTTGATTTCTTTGTAAATTCCATCTTTTATGAGAATAGCCCTCATAAATACTGGTATTAACCAGTACCAGTAATCTTAGCTGCAAAGTAAACACATTGCTATCTTTTTTTTTTTTTTGTAAACCTCCCCAGTTACCTTGCTCCAGGCAAAGAAATTCTGTTATCAGTCTGACTCCTTGCTTAAATGAAAGACAGTGGCAAAATACTAACACAGGTGGAGGTAATGCAGTCCATACACTTTTTGATCAATCATACCATGATATTTCCCATTTTCATTACCACAGTACCATACCATTGTGTTAATTTATACATACGTATGTAAATTATTTCAGCATGCATGTATATCAATGAAGAGCTGCTATACTACTCTTACTAAGCTCTATTAAGCAACTGGATCATGCAGTTTACAAAACTTCTGAGGAATAAAATACATAAAAATCAACAGCACAACTACCACAAGAAGCATTTTTCCCCCTTATTTTAAGAGGCTCTCTACCTCAAAGTGATCACAACCAGAATTTATTATTCAAATTTCAATTTGTCAATAAAACTTTCTTTTTTTAAGGGACAGCTGGATTTATCTCCTGGGATTCTGGTAACCTGAGGAGAAAGGAATTCAGTTTAGCTATTCATTTAGGTTTCCTCTGCAGTCACTGGAGAAATGGAGACCATGTGAAACACAATCCGCTCTTCTTAGATATCCATCTAAATCCGATGAATCACTCCCAAAGTGCCTCTCTGCCAGCTATCAAGGGAACCGAGGTGAACAGCTTAGACTGGACATCTGCAGTCAAGAAAAATGTCACTCACCTAACCAACTGGGTTTTGTTCTTTTAACAGCAGAGATACAATCTTCCATCAGTCCGAGTGGCTTATGAGAGTTCTTCTCCAGCTTTAATTATATGACCTTTTTCTATTAGCTTGTTCTTAGGGTTTTTGGTGTGCGGTTTGCTGGGTTTTGGTTTTTTTTCATTAGAAAAAGTACACTAATTTTGCTCCGGTTGCTATTTTAAACATAGATTTAAGTTCTGTCTCATTGGTTGGAATTGGTTTCTAGGTGACTCTAAACCTTAATCTGCATTTAGTTAACAGACCCCCAAAAAGAAGAGAATGTTCTCATTAAGTGTCTATTCTTGGCACAACCAAGAAAGTGAAACTTCTTATATTCCTTATGATGCTGACCATCAAAAACATATCTCTTGTTGGCTAACAGCTTGCTTCCTTTGCCTCAGAGCTTCAAAAATTCACAAATGAACCACGAAGTTTAACACACTTGCAAAAAAATAGAGCACATGGACTGAAGGAAGAACATGAGGATACAGAGGGCATAATAAATTGTGAATATACTGTGTGACTAGTAACACTCCAAGCTCAGCCCCTGCTGCAGCCCTGTATGAATCCTTTCAGTAAAGAGCAAGGAGTTCCTCACTTTCTAGACGTACTTTTCTAGTTCTGTGGTATTCATTCAGACCAAAGTCCCAGCAGAAGTCACGTGTGTTTTACATGAGCAAGTCTGGCAAGGATTGTGATCTGTATTTTATATGCTATAAAAATAACATGGGCAGTCCAGAGAAACTGGACACTGACAATCAATTGTAGAACCAAAATTATTAGTTTCAGTTCACTAGGATATACTTTAAAATGAAAAAAATTCCAAAACTACAGAAATAAAATACAAACACTACATTTATCTTACAAAAACATGCAGGAGAGATAACCAAAGCTCAAAATGCAACAACTGCACATGTATGATGCCCGTGCTTAAGGACTACCCATCATGTGTAAGCAACAAATGCTATCATTTTTAAATTTAGGTGGTTTTTTTGGGTCTAAGTGAATGCTGCTGCTGCTTCTTTCTTGATCACAAGAACTTGTGAAAACAGAAGACTTTCAAATATCATGACATATGAGGCAGCCAGGCCTGTCATTTGCTTAGCTAATGGCAACAGCTTACATTTCTCATGATAAGAGGGCATATCTGATTTACTTCACATTTTTAAAAGTACAAGTCTATTGAAATAGTTTTCAAAATATGAATGGGTTGTAACCAATCTGATTTTGCAAGACCAAAAGTTTGAAGACAGTCTGAAACACAGACCAAGAAAGCAGTTTATGTCAAAATGAAGACAGGGAATTCAGCCTCTGAAGTTTAACTAGTTTTCAAAAGTCAGTATTAACCACTGATCATGATAAGAACAACATTTACAATTTTGAAAATCTACAATGCATAGTTGATTCACGTTACCTCACGGAAATTTAGGTTAGGACTAGAGTTCAGGGACTGACTTTACTCCTGCTTTTTTTTTAAAAAAAAAAAAAAACAATTTCAGATGCAGGATGCTTCATGACTTCTGCAGTTAGGAAAGTTACCTGAAAATTTTAATTTTACCCACGCACTTCAGAACAGCTCAACAAAAAACCCAATTGGCTTAAATATTCCATTAACAATAGGTTATTAAGATAAGTATTAATGTTTTTTACACCTCAGTTTAAAATAAAGGCAAAGTTGGATATAACACCATGAAAACTCCTCACTCTATTTATAAGCAGAGGATGACTGCGACATGAATTCAGTGTTATCACATGTGGGCATCACACATCTGCAAATTATGCTAAGTGGCCAAACTATTCCTTACTCAGTGCTAGCACTGGACACCTCCTTCCATATATCATGAAGAGATAACTGTACAGCCTGCTGATCTGCAAGGACTGGACGTTAAGCTGCACAGAGAAGAGGTGGGGTATTGAGGCAGGGGGAGCCCAATTAAAAGCCTGCCTTGTCGACTACTTGTTGACAGAGACTCAAGAAAAAAAGTTTTAAGTGTTTTAGTCTAAGGGGTAATCATCCCATTTTTGAATATGCTGTACTCAGTTTGGCTTGACCGCTCATCCTTTCAAGCTGATTCTTTTCCCATCTGCAGGAATGGATATGACTGATTAAACAGAATACTATGAACAAAGTGGCAACAAAATTGCTCGTGTGCCAGTGATCTGGGACAGAAAAAGCAAGCATAGTGAAAATGTGGATAAAGAAATAATAAACCAGCTTTACTTCCAGAAAATGGAAGCCAAAGTTACATAGTTTTTCTGTTAAAACTCACAGAACACCATGCAAGACTCATCTCAAACAAACAATATTTTCAGACAAGTTAATGGCTCTGTGATTAATTTCTCACACACATTCCAAGAATGGCTACTGTTCACTCACTGCAGTGGAATCTTTTTACTTTCAAAATCTTCTAATAGCAGGTATTCCTGCCCTTCTTCCGAGAGAAAGGGTGACCCTTGGCTGGTTCATAAACATAGGAAAGATGAGGAAGACAGTGTTTAGTATTTCAATATACCTCTGGAATGAGCCTGAACAATAGGGGTTTTGGAAACAGCCTTTGGCTGCATTTTCTTATTTAGGATCCAAATATGAACCTTAAAAAATCTCACTAAACGCTACAGTCGAACAATGCTCTTTCTCAAGTCAACAGTGATCAGAGCATAAAACTATTTTAGACAAAATACAGCATGATTATTACAGCTGCAACTGCTGAGTCCAAGATACTCTCACAACAGTACGTGGTGCATTGCATGACACCAGAATGAAGCATTTCAAAATTGTTCGTTCTGAAACACCACAATTCTTAAAAATTTCAACAAGGCAGCTCGGATACTTCCTCTATGTTTCAGTTATTCTCCCTCATCCGGAAAAGAACCCCAAAGCCTTGAAATAAAATTCAGTGGTTCCCAGGTTATCTATAAAGTAACATGCAAAATTAGAACAGAAAATGTTCCCTCTGCGTATTGGCAACTTTAAAGTCTAAAGAGAAAATATCATAGAAATAAACCATTCAAATAATACCTGCCTATTTAATTACACCTATTAAGCTTTGCACTTTACTCTAAGGAAAAAACATTGTAGAAATACACAGATAATTGTTCCAAGTCTGGAAATCAATAGGAAAATGATGCAGACATTTAATTTTTCCTTCACATGTAAGGATGTGGATTGGCTAGTGCATAGAGCGCCCCGTAACTGATCATCTTCATAACATGCTGTGCAGATACACAAAGCTCTAATTCCATAGGAAAAGGTCTATATCCTCTATACTATGGCCCAAAGCCAGCAGAATACCTACTGTACCAGACATGAAACAAAAGCAGTCCTTTTAGGTGGAACTGAAACTCCAGCATAACTATTATTCTGAATTTTCATTATTACAGCCTTCTTAATAAAAGGACATAGCTATTTAGTGAATTTAGTTAAATATAATGCACTAAGTCCATTAATTTCCAAGTAATCACAATGCCAATGTTTCACTGTCTTCAAATATTCCTGTAGAAACATCATTTATTTAAACAGTCTCTACACTCCCAAAGACTTGGTACAGTTCCTTCTCAGTTCCCTCGGCATTTTATCTCCATTGGACCTTCTGCCTTCCCCAACACCCAAATACCTTCTCTCCTGTGTCATCAGTGTCTTCCTCAAGAAATTTTGCAGCCTATTCACGCACTCTATACCTTGTCACGTTTTGTGCCCCCTTTTATGATCTCCTCAGAATTTACTCTTTCTACTTCACCCAGTTGTCACACAACTATGGAAATCAGGTCAGAAAGACAATTATACATCCCAACCTCAATCATTCCTAAAAACATGCTTCATGTGGCAGTGTTACAAATCCACTCTGTGCCCATCCCTCACAGAAGCAAATGTGCACTCAGACACATTTCTGACGAGCCAGGGCGCTGATGAAAAGTCAAGATTTCTCTGCCAAGCCATTGTGGAAACAATACCACACTTTTTGATAGCTTTTGGCAGGAAGGGTGACATACCTCTCAGGCACCATCAGCTTCTAAATATCACTAAACATTAGAAGGCTTTAACACTGAGAAAACAGACACTGGGTTTCCCCTTCTCTTGCAGGAGGCTTTGGGGCACACTGCGCAGCCCATAACCTGTACATTCCATACTCTGGGGGAACTGTAGGCTCATTCCTGCGTTTTATAAGAAAGATTGTAATGGGTGGATACTTTTCTGCCATGTAATCATCAGTAAACGGAGCAGGAAACTCCTCAGGCACAACAGAGCAAGATAAAAATGCCAAGGGAGCAGAGAGCACATGGCACAGGTAAAACTGGCAGAGCATCAAGGTGTTGATGAAGAAGGCACCGCCACTAAAAGGTATGGCCCTAAGGGAGTATGTGAAATACTCATGAAAACACTTTCAAAGGAAGCTTTCCTCAGCCTTCCATGTACTTATCTGCAATCACAACAAGAATATGACGTTTTATTTATTTTTCTGGAAATACCTCAGCAGATTTTATTTTAAATTCCTGCAGAAAAGAAGCTTGCCAGAGAGAATTTATAAAGTTCTCCCCACAGAATACTCAAGGTTGGAAGGGACCTCTGGAGATTATCTGGTCCAGCTCTTCCAATACCTCTAAGCAAAGCCATCTTCAATTCAGGTGAGGGTCCTTGGGAGCTTGTCCACTCAAGTTCATTTGTTGTCAGGTTTTTGGGTTTGTGTTTTGGGGTTTTGTTTGTTTGTCTCTTTAAAATCTCAGAGGACAGAGATTTCACTCAGTTCCTGGGCAGTCAGCTCCAGGGACGGCCACCATGATCCATTCTGAAAAACCATAGTGATATTTCCCAGGTAACTACCATAAATATTATATCCTCCTATGCAGGAGGTGCTGTACATCTATTTAAGTAAGAAGTAGTAGTTGGAGAAATCAATATACATTTAATTCAGTAGAAGTTCTCAATTCTTTCCTTAAAATTTCCTATTGCACAGTTCTCTGGAGAACTGACTGTACGGGTACTCTTTATTCAGTAAGAAATAAGGCTTATTTGAGCTTGTTTGTAAATATCTGTTATTTGGAAAAAGTTAAAATTCAGAATACAGAAACTGAGTGCTTTAAGTCTCCTGCATTCTTAGTTATCATAAAATAATTACCTTTTACTCTTGCTTGAGAGTCTGAACCTTGAACTGTTAGTAACAGTCAACAAACACCATTTGACGATTGGTATATTCAGTGATGTGGTAACCTGGCAGGTGATAATAAATATCTGCATGTTTTACTGAATCCCTTCTATGAAAGATTTAACTGGCAAAACTGGGGCACCAAATACTAGAAGGGAGAAATGCTAAATTTCTACAGCTTTTTCTCATCCTAAACTGGACTAAACACATCTGACTGTGGCTAAAGAAAGGGTACTTCTCTGCTTTGTGCCATGCATAACTCCAAGCTACAATGAAATGCTTGAATCACTGCATTTATCTGATACTTCATACTGGCTATTGCTGGACGCACTTTTGAAGAATGCAATACGGGTCTAGCGCTGATCAAACAACTTCACTATTGCTGCAAAAAGTTCAAGTATAGAAAGAAAAGAAGCAAAAGTTACAGACAGCTTTCTCCCACAGATTCTGTGCATCCAAATGTTCAATGACTCCGCAATAAAAAAAGTGCTTTTAGCTCAAACGTTCTTTGCCTGTAATACAAATAAGCGTTCTTAAGAAAAAAGTGACACTTACCTCATAGGTTCGGGTTTTTTACTTTGACAGTTTATTAGCAGTAGGTAGTCTTGAGGATCTTCTTGACCAGAGGATGACTCCAGTGGGGGGATGTTAATAAGCTGATATGGAGGAGGTAGGGAAGATTCTGCTTGCATGGAAGGCGGTGAAGTGTTGATGGGCAAGGGTAACTCAGCAGATGGTTGTAAAGAACTGACTGGTGGCTTCACAGCATCTGCAAACACAGAAGCAAAGCATTCCTTTTACAGTGAAGAAATAGTCTTACAATACTACCAAAAAAAAAAATTAAGAGAGGATGAGAAAAGTCAGGGGTTTTAATTCAAAATTGTAAAATCAGTGGACATAAGAACATCTGGATATTAACATTTGTTTCAGAGTATTTGTATTTATACATAAATCTTTATAATATCATTATATTTTTTTCAAGCTGTAATCAATTTCTTAAGTATGCCTTGGAAACAGAGGTTATGCCTTATTTAATGACTTATTTAACCTGTTTTCTGGTCACAGAAAGAACAAAGATGCTGACAGCTGCAGTAAGACAGCTAAGAACACAAATCTGTTGTTTTAATCAAGAGCAGACACAGGCCCATAGGTTATTACTTGAATATGGTAAGCTGAGTCAGCACATGTACATATTCATCCCTTTTGACCAAGGTCACTTCAACATTTGAGATTAGTCACCAGTCAAGAACTGGCCTCTCAATATCTGAAAAGCAACAGGAAAAACACTGCTTTTGCAATGGAAGATCCCTTAAGACTATGAGAGTAATGCAGAGGTACAATAGGTACCACGTTCCACTACATCCCCTCATTACATACCCCAACTTTTTATTTTAGTGCAATAAATGAAGTAGTTGTGGTTTGCTCTTGTTCAGTTTGGGATTTTCTTTTCTTTTTTGGGGGGGAGAGAGGAGGAGAAAGAGGTGTTGTGGTTTTGGTTTTTTTTAAATAACCATATCTTTATAATTCTTATCCAATTCCTGTTCACAGATATTCTAGAGTACGTTCTTTTTGCCTTCCAAATACACATACCCTCACTATTAAATTATCTGGGACACTGGAAAATATTGACACTGTCAAACATTAAGCAATCATTTAACTTTTTTATTGTTTTAATGATGCATTGAGTAAGAACAACACAATTAAGCAAACTGTTCCTCAATTATCAAGGCTCCCTTGTACTTGCAACTCATTGTACATTCCAATTTGCACTTCCCAAGAATGGACGCTGATTATTAGTATTGTTTAAATGAACTTATTATTATCCAATGCAGACTGCTCCTGTTAGGCTTACAGGCCAGCTACACACTACAAATTAACTTCAACCAGCTTCTGCTTCCCAGCACTATCCTGGGAAGAACCAGATGAGCAGACCAGAACATAGTCTTGCTGCTTCCAGTTCTGCGTATGCTAGGTACAAGTGATTTAGACGTGGAAATAGAAACAGCAGTACTTGCTTTGAACTCTCATAGCACTTACACAGGTTCAGAAATTAAATCCCACCACACCCATGTGGGTGGAAGAAGTCTAGGTGTATGAAAATTCCTCAACTCAACCTACCTGAAAAGGTAGGATAACCTAAAAAAAAAATAGTTTTATAAAAGGTTGTGCCTGACCTATCCATCAAACTAGTTAGCAAAACAAAGGCAAAACCAGACTGCACCCAGCAATCACACCCACAAAAAAATTTCTTTACTACATGCTACAATATTAAAATACGAACAATTTTCTATTATTTAGGAATTTCAAGAGCTTGAAGGAGCCTACTTGAGGCACCTACTGATATTTCATTTCCCTAATATTAGGGTTCAATAGCAGGAATAGAGGTACCCGAATGGACATACCAAGCACGTATTTCTTGCTCCTGGAAAAGAGGTAGTTGGAGAAAGAACAAGTAGATCTCTGTCCTGTCCCTTCCACAACTAAGGAATGCAAGTAAAATTACGCACGACTAAGAGAAGAGAAGGAAGGTTTCCTGCCAGATACACTATAATTCTTTAGCCATGCTTACAGACAAGATTCTCGCGGGCTTCAGTGTACCACAATCCCCACCCCTGTTCCTTGTCCCTCACTATACACGACCTTCACGTCATTAGATCTGCTTGGTGCCAAGTTCACACAAGGAGAAAGAAGAAATCAAACAGGATATCCTTGCATCTTCCAGGGAAGACGGGTGTGTCAATTAGACCACAGGTAGTCAGGAGAGCTCAACAGGTATACAGTAAGATACATGCCTACGTGAGGCTGATGCATTTAAACAAACCATGCACTAGCATTCCCAGGAAGAGTAACAAGACTCAAGGGTAATTTTCTGGGGGAAAAAATACGATCAAGAAGCATGAAAGAGGACCAATGTATCCACCAAGTTTGGCGAAATAAAAACTTACTTTCTTGGGGGAGTAAGAAGAAAGTGTGCGAGAGAAAGAAAAAGAAGTTAAAGGCTGGCTGTAACTTGTAATTAGTGAAAGGAGGCAAGGTGGTGAAGACCATTAAGCTAAATATACTGGCTCAGATCTGTTGTCTCTGAAGCCCACATCTCTGATGGCGGCCTGTTGCAGACAGGCTGAGCACAAGCAGCAAGGCAAGCCTGTCGCACTGCCCACAGCTTCTGGGGCTCTACAGCTTTGGGGCACCCCAGCGCAGGGGCTGCACCCACAGCCTACGCTGAGCAGCCTCTGAAAAACTTTTCTCTGAATTTGTCCTACCCCTTTGGGTACATTTATGTTTTTGAACTCTACTACCATTCTGTGGCAGTGAGCTCCATACCTTATGATGCATGGCATGAAAAAACACTTCCTTTTATTTTAAACCTGCTGCCTGATAGTTTCACTTGATATTCTTCAGCTCCCATCTTCAGAGAAACAGCGAAGAATTGCCTCCTATTCATAATCCCTGTTCCCAACTTTACACAACTTTGTCACAGCTTTACTGAGTTGGTGCTGCTTAATTTTTCTTGGTACAGAAGCCATTTCATTGCAGAGCTGGTTTCCCTTCACCTTCACCTTTCCTAGCTCTACTAATCCCTTCCTGAGAAGGCAAAATATTGCATAAAATGTGCTAAAAGTCTGGGACACTTACTGATTTACAAAGACATAACAATAATTAATTCTGTTTCTATCCTAACCATTTGCCTTTTGATTTTTACTGAGCATTAAAGGTGACACTGTCCAACTATCCAGAGGGTTCATGATCTCATCTCTGAGCAAGGATTTGGAGCCCATTAATGTTAATGGATCATTGGGGATACTTTCCTTGTGCTGAGCCACCTCATTTATTTTGACACAGATACCACTTGACAAAATCCTTAGGTCCTGCCACTGATCTGTTTGGAGGGGGGGTGGTGGTTTAGTTGGGATTTTTAAAAATTTTTTTCCAGTGAATAGAGTACTAAACTATTAAAATATCAGCTTTCTGAACTGAAATTCATCCTCATACAGGCATTTTGTATGTGTTAAATAGTGCAGGCTAATACCTGTTTTAAAGAACAACTGAACTTAGTCTAAAGCACTTCACTGCTGTGCTACTTATTTACTCATTCAAGCTATTTCAAATTTGACTACAAACAATAACGTTAACAGCTTTCATCACTGAGCAAATGAATGCTGTTTGCCTATCTGTACCCTCTCAAATATTCTCTTTAGCCATGTACTTCAGAAGCTGATATGAAGGAAAGAGTTTCTCCCAGCAGCCTATTATTATTTCAAAGAGTACACTCATCAACTTGCTCCACCTTGGACTAGCAGATTTTGAGGGAAGGGGTCATCTGCACACCAAAGAGTGTTCTAAGTCATTTGGTTTGTTCCCAGAGCTCAGACACTCAGACTGCTTTGAAATAACTGAGAGCTGGAAAAACATCCAGAATATTTAACATGCAAATGAGCGTAACAAGAATCCTATTTTGTTTTTATAATTCCTGCATTCAGTACAGCTAGAACAAGCAGCTTTCTCAAAACACTGAAAGAGTTTTATCTTTTCTCAGTTGGTTTGTTAAGCGTAGTTACAGGCATCATCTTTGCTAGAATTTCCACTTTTTTTCCTCAATCATTTTTGTATTTGCCTCACTAATGAAACAATCATAAAATCAACACGGCAAAAAGAACATTTTCTGCACAAGAATAATAAAAGGCTTCCCCCTCTTCCTTCTTAACTTTGTAAAGAGTCTTTATTCCACATGTTCCTATATTGTTCATAAAGCACAAATCTAGAAGATTTGAGTGTGGGAGTTTGCATTAAAGGTTGGTTTTGTGTTTTCTTCTGTTTTTTTTAATTAGAGCAAAATTTAAATTGTTTTCTATATTATGATATAGTCTCTTAATATGCTAATTATGTAAATACTTGAAATGTTCTCATAGTGAACAAAACACAGAAGCCTCATTACAGCAAGCATTTCTTTAAATGTCAAAATTGTAATCAAAGTAAGAAAATGCATTCTTTGCAGATCGTAGGTAGAAAGACTAAAATAGAAATGGGATTTTCCCATTGTAACAGTGAATCAGCAACAGATATGCAATCACATGATTCTACCATTCTTCTGGGATGCTTCTTTTAACTTATTTACTATGATGCAGATGTTTTTAAAACAACTAATAGCCAAGAAAGTATTAAAGTAATAACCTTGAGCAAAAATTTACAGATAAAAGAGTGGGAGCCATAATTAAAAAAAACTTCACTTTAATCCTTAAAAGGAGTTTTTGTTTTGGTTTGTTTTAAATTAAGTCTGTTAAGCCATTATCTTTGCTGCTTAATGCAAGGAGATACATCCTGCAGTACACTGCTGGAGTTTCCTTTAGCGTCAGCTTCTACACGGTCTCAAGTGAAAGATCCTGGAATCAAAGGGCCACATGTGTGCATGTGCACGCAGAGCGCGCAAGCATGTGTATGCTGACAGGCACAGAAAACAAGCACTTGCTCTGTTCACATACTTAACTCGCTAGATGTGAGCCAGATCCAGCCCACATGATGCACGGACGTGTTAGCCTGGGTTTGGTTTCCAACATAAGTGACCCGCTTACAATCAATATGAAATCCAAGCAGTGAGCCTCAATTCTGAACCTTTCTGCTATACCCAGAGAACATCCTTTTAAATATTTTAATAAAAAGTTCCTGTGCACTTCCTAAGTTTGTTTTCTTAGTTTAATATAATCTCAAAGTATCTCTCTTTTTCTGAAGATAAACAAGATACTCTATTTAAAGAACACTAATGAATTCAGC